TCGTCGATAGAGCGAATTGGATGCCGTTTGACGGAGGAATTGTGTTGGCAGGGGGGAGAAAGAATACCTATCTTTTGTAAACCTAACTGTTTCCACCTTCCCCTTCTTAACCGCATTCAAGAACTCGTTGTATCGCCATTGACTGCATTCGGAAGATCAGGAGACTAGGACTGGGGTTTTAGGGCAGTCAGGAGGAGGTTCTGAGAAAAGGGTAAGGAACATTGACTAGGGTTGGTATGCTGCGCTTGGATTACAGGCAGCGGTGTCGGCGGAGAGTTGTCTACGGCTAGGGCTTGCGGTGTTAGAGGAGAAGTGAAGGATGACGCAGCTAAGGTGGCTGAGATTGCAAGGATTTCAAAGGTTTCTCTGAATTGGATTCCGGGTTCGCACGAACCCAGATCTTGAGTTCAGCTGGCGGACAGTGGCGAAGATAGAGAGGGGCGGTGGCCGGGAATGGAAAGGGGAAGAAAGGTGTCTGATGACGAGAGAGGAACGGTGGTGAGGAGAACAGAGAGAGAAAGGGCAGAGGAGAATGAAAAGGAAGAAGAATAAAGTAAGGGCATTTTTGTAATTTTAAATTTAAAGAATTGAAAAGAATTAAATGACAATTATATCTTACTTCGCTTTATTTTTGTCCACATAAGCCTCCTTTTGTATTAGGTGTCATTAACACGTTACTAAAAGAAATAAAAAATGCCACGTGGATTGACTTAACAGCCAACTGTTACTTAACCATCAAACATATAAAAAGGATAATTTTCACAGTTAATGGATGAAAAAAAGTACAAAATAAGAAAAAAAATTAGGGGATGATATTTGTTCAAAATTAAGAGTTTGGAGAACAAATTTAGCATTTAACCTTCTAAAATTGAAATGTACGAAAAAAAAAAAAAAGGCAAACAAAGAAAAAAAAAGTTAAGGGATGATATTAGTTCAAAATTAAAAGTTTGGAGAACAAATTTAACATTTAACCTTCTAAAATTGAAATATGCGAAAAAAAAAAAGAAAAAAAAAGTTAAGGGATGATATTAGTTCAAAATTAAAAGTTTGGAGAACAGATTTGGCATTTTACCTTCTAAAATTGAAATGTTTGTAAGTCACATTGCAAAGCAAGAATCGAAACCAGGGACAGGACGGGTACATTTTGGATGTTACCAAAATATTTAAATTTTCAATCTAAATTTCTTATTTTTAGTTTGGATAATTCAAATATTGGGAAAATTTTAGGTAAAATTGAAAAGACCTAATATAATTTCGGTTTGAATATGGTTATTGACTCATTTTCCAAAATTAT